TAACTGTTTGTAAAAAAAAGCAACATATATTTATACATGGCATAAAATGCACTTCAAAATTGTACCAAACACATATATAAACAAACAAATTTTATTTAGAAAGTGATGCTGAAATAAATATTGTATTTATGCACAAAAACATTCGTTATAACCTAGTAATAGCAGGTGAGCGATTGCCCATTGTAGACCCTTGGATTAGTGCCTGCCACTCAGTGGTGCAGTGCTGCAATGTGAATTGGGTACAGCTTGAGTAACTTCATTTACATAATGAGAGAATGGGTCTGGTGTCTTTTGAGTCACCCTGTATGTTTAAATGATGTAGAAAATGCTGTAACTCTTTGGCCTATATGTCAGATTGCTTGCTAATGAGACAAACAAATTTTCATCTAAACATTGAGATATATGAAGTGAGCACCATCAGATTATAAATACAGTTTGTACAATTGTTCCAAATGAATAAATATCTAAAAATGTGAAGCAATTTTTTGCAATATTAAAGCTCCTCATAAAGTAAATAGGGCTCAAAAGCTGAAACCTACTTTAACTAACTGTTCTTTAAAGATTCATGGACCCTTCTGAGGGTCCATGAATAACAGCTCTTTCATCTAAAGGTCCCCTTATATCTCCTAAATGAGGTTTGTGCATTCAAGCTGAGTCCTTTTTTATTTTTCAGTTAAAAGGTCATTATTTGTTGGAAGAAGCACTCTATGTCTAATATTTAGGCACATAAGCTAACAAACATTTGATCAATAAATTGCAAGTGAATGAAATTCTGAAGAAAGGTAAGTATTGTTGTACTCCATAAAATTAGTGATTTAGTCCTTGGGGTCCAAAACAGATTGGTATTACAGGAACTGGAAGAATCTGATGCTTTCAGATCTTGTGAATTGGGCATGTGTGAAACTAACAAAGTATTATGCAGTAATGAAGCATAAACATAATTCTGTTGGCTGGAGTTGTAAATTGTTTCAATACATGGCATTCTGTTGTGGTTTTACCTTGAATCAACCTTTCATTCACTTGACTTGGACACTTGTACATGAGGGACTTCCCATGCACATTTGTCTGTGTCAAGTGAAGAATTGCCTGACTCAAGAGAAAAAAAAAAAACTGCAATTAGAAAAATTTTGTGTGGGCGGGTGAAATCCTAAACATATGACTACAAGTCAGTAGATGCTTGATCAGTAAGGGTTTATATCTAATTAAATTTTCTAGTGTAAAGAGCTGTTCCAAGGAATAGAAATGAAAAAACGAAGCAACAGCATTCTTACTCAGCTAATCTGATCTTATAGTCATCTTGAGAATTATCAACCAACCCAGGGAGACCAGAGCCATGCCTTGGCACTCTTGAAAGCCCAAAGTCTAAATGAACTATGTTGTAATTGGTTCTTTTCTTTAAATGTTGTTCACAGTCTCTGTCTGTTTTATGTTCGTTACCCTAATATTTCTGTATGTGTCTCAAGTTATGAGTTTTTATTCATGTAATCAACCCAACCTATTATAGAATTTGGCACATTTATCTGTGTGTGTGTGAACATTTTTATGTTCTAATAAAGCTGTTATTTATTGATCTTACTTTTCCAAAATCTTATAATTTATGTTAATGCCAACTATTGAACACTGTTCAAAATTAGTATTTTTTAGTAAATGCCCTTTCCCAGTTTAAATCCCATGCCCATGACATGTGCTATGGCTGTGGGATTGTAGGCCTATGTATTTTTATGTGTACTCACCCATATTTGTCAGGCCTCACTGGTAATCATCAAAGCCCCATGACTTGGCTATCTGTCATATCATTTCATCATATCCATGCAAGAGGAAATTAATATTGCTCTTGCATCAGAACACTTGAAGCTAGGATGGCCAAGTGGTTTAGTTACCAGACTTCAGATCTGGTCCTCTTAATAATGGTATAGGTGCAAATCCCAGCATTTGCACAAACTTTTTTTTCTATCATTCTTTCTCATACTTAGCACTGATGTTCTTCAAAGTAGCTGATCACTTGCAAAAAAAAGAAAATCTATAAGTAGTCATGTGTTCTCTATTTCTCAATGAAAGTTGGGTTAGTAAAAAGACAAGAACTTGAAGTGGGGGGGGGGGAAATGAAAACTTGAAATTATGCTGAAAATCCTATTTACATTCCAAATGTTGCAGGTGTTGCAATAGATTAAATGCACAGATCTGAATTGACATCATGGAATAGACTGGGATGGCCTGTTTCATCATATCCATGCAATGGTGCATATAGGAGGGGACTGTGCATTCTATTGGCTCCTGTGGAGCTGGAATGGCCGAGTGGTTAAGGCGCCAGACACTAGATCTGGTCCTCCTCAGAGAGGGCGTGGGTTCAAATCCCACTTCCAGTATTAATTTTTAAACGAAGATGCAGCAGTATGGAATTCCACCTGGTATCCAATATTTTGTTGAGCTGATATTGAGATGCTGATACCACACTGATATCTAATATCTGATAACTTATTCCATATATGTGATATTAAGTTGGGACAAGCTCTACTTGCCTTTCTATAACCTGTTGAGATTTGAAATCATCTCTTAGTATTGAGTAGATTTGGGTTGTGCATGTTTTCATTTAATTAATTTAAATGAGAACCAATTTAGCATTCTTGCACCTACTGTCAAAGGGCTTCCAGTCCAATGCCTGCATGACTGTTTTATTCAAAATTCTAATTGTAGCTATAGTGCATGAATCACTTTGCTCTCTTTTGCACTTTCTCTAGCTGTTCCTTGTAACCCACTTTAACCTGTTTAATTGCAGTGTTCATAAGTCTGGACATTTATATGCATATGTATTATTCAGTATATATTCATTGGGGCTGAAAATCTAGTTTTCAATAAGTAGATATACAGAGCAACAGACTAACTACTAACAATGAGATCAAAGAGACCATTCCAAGTGATACAGAATGTTTTGCATGGAAAATTGCTTGTGAGTAAAAGGTTGTGTTCTAAATTGGAGTTGGATGGTTCTTTAGTTGCATTTGAGCAAGCCTTGCATTCGATTGGCTTTGGTCACAGCATTTCTAATACTGGTCTTATCCAAATCTAATTTTAGTTCTGCATGCCTGCTTGTTCTGCCAGACAGGAAAGGCTATGCTAAAACTTTGGTAACATTTGTGCCATGCTTCTTTCTTCCTCTGATTGGCTGAAAAGGTAGATATGAGGGAGTAAGGATCAAGGAAAGAATCCTACCATTGTGTCAGCAAAAGTTATGAGAGTGAGCAGAAAATATGTTTTTGCTTTTGGGATTTTCTCACAAGTTTCAGCAGTTCCACAGATGAGTTCTACCTTGAATAGAGCATCTGGAAACTGAACTGCTTTCAGTTGGAAAGGAGCAGTTAATGTAACAATCTATGATGCACTCATGATGTCATGTCAGTTCAAGTTTTGTCCTTTGACAGGAAATTTTGAGCTGATTGAAGGATGACTAAACAATTTGTTGATTGCTTAAGCAGTTCAGGATTTATTAAGTGATTTTTAAAAATATTGATTCAATCTGCAGCATCCCAAGGAATGCTACAGGTTGAATCAATACTACAATCAATCAATACTACAATCAATCAATACTACAATCAATACAAACTACGTTTGTCAGTAGCATCCCTTGGGATGCTACAGACAGAAACAGAGAAGATACAAAATAATTTTCGCGTGGATGAAGAGGAAGGGCTGTGAGAAAGGTAAACTAAAGGTAACAGCAAGGCATTCATGATCTTTTGGGTAGTGACTCGAGGAATTGGTATTTTTGCGTCGCGTGAAAGGAGGCTTTACGGCATGAAAAGAAGTAGGAAATTTTCATCACAGTCGGTAAATATTGACGGAGCGCACGGTTGAATGGAATATAGAGGGGGTGGGGAACCTTATCCCAACTAGGGCTGTCACGATTACGGTTTGGAAATTTCGATGCATTGATCAAGTACGTAATTATAAATGGCGTGGAATGGAGAGAAAAGAACGGATACTTCTGCGAATGAGAGCACGCCCTGTGCCCTTCCCGATCCGCCGCCCATGCTGCTCGATACCGCGGCATCATGCAGGGAGGGGCTGGAAGCCAACACGTCCTGGTGGGTGAGTAGAATGAGAAATTAAAAAAAAAAGTTGGATTGGTCCGGTTCAGCATTGGGTCTCTTTGCTGTGACCGTTGCAAACGGGAAGATGTAGCGATAACGTTGGGAGTGGAGTAGAGCAGAGCATATAACGCTGCCAGGCATGGTAATATTTCTGCCAGACAGGAAAGGCTATGCTAAAACTTTGGTAACATTTGTGCCATGCTTCTTTCTTCCTCTGATTGGCTGAAAAGGTAGATATGAGGGAGTAAGGATCAAGGAAAGAATCCTACCATTGTGTCAGCAAAAGTTATGAGAGTGAGCAGAAAATATGTTTTTGCTTTTGGGATTTTCTCACAAGTTTCAGCAGTTCCACAGATGAGTTCTACCTTGAATAGAGCATCTGGAAACTGAACTGCTTTCAATTGGAAAGGAGCAGTTAATGTAACAATCTATGATGCGCTCATGATGTCATGTCAGTTCAAATTTTGTCCTTTGACAGGAAATTTTGAGCTGATTGAAGGATGACTAAACAATTGGTTGATTGCTTAAGCAGTTCAGAATTTATTAAGTGATTTTTAAAAATATTGATTCAACCTGCAGCATCCCAAGGAATGCTACAGACAGAAACAGAGAAGATACAAAATAATTTTCGCGTGGATGAAGAGGAAGGGTTGTGAGAAAGGTAAACTAAAGGTAACAGCAAGGCATTCATGATCTTTTGGGTAGTGACTCGAGGAATTGGTATTTTTTGCGTCGCGTGAAAGGAGGCTTTACGGCATGAAAAGAAGTAGGAAATTTTCATCACAATCGGTAAATATTGACGGAGCGCACGGTTGAATGGAATATAGAGGGGGTGGGGAACCTTATCCCAACTAGGGCTGTCACGATTACGGTTTGGAAATTTCGATGCATTGATCAAGTACGTGATTATAAATGGCGTGGAATGGAGAGAAAAGAACGGATACTTCTGCGGATGAGAGCACGCCGTGTGCCCTTCCCGATCCGCCGCCCATGCTGCTCGATACCGCGGCATCATGCAGGGAGGGGCTGGAAGCCTACACGTCCTGGTGGGTGAGTAGAATGAGAAATTAAAAGTTTTTTCAACCTAACCAGGCCAAGTCGTAACCCAGAGAAACGACACTGGCAACGTTTGCCCTTCTACATCGCTATTGCAACCCTCACCTCATCTCGTCTCGTATATTGCGACGGTCCGTACCATTATCACGAGTTCAGCTAGCAACCCTGTCTCTTGCTGCGTTCTCCCTCCGTCGTTAGTCAACATCGAATCACTTAGCTCTCAGTGCATTGAATTCGTCGGCTGCGGAAGCTGCAAGGGAAGTAGCAGGTCTGGTTCGAGATAAGACATCCCGATTCAGGTTACGCTCTGCGCATGCGCCACGAGGTCTTAGACCCCGTGCTTTGACCCCGTGAGAAGGAAAGCAGATGGTTCCTCATGCCCTCTCCGCTGAGAAAATGTAATGGGTTCAGAATTTGCAATAAAAAAATGTTGGCAAGAAATAAATTGGCCTGCATCGTGTCCGTATCGCTGTCTACCGTGTTCACAATGATCAGGCCAAACAATTTTTAGCAATCGAAAACCATAGAGCCCGAGGCACAAATTCGCATGCATTGACTAGAGGGACTTCAAGTCCTCGCCCCTCCCTCCCATTTAATTTTACCCTCTCGTTTCCAAGCAGCTCACGTGCCCACAAGCCTACGAATTTTTATTCTGATACTTGCCGTCTGCCGATACGTAACGCTCGGGAAGCTTTCTCCGGCGATATCGATGCATCGTGACAGCCCCAGTGCGCATCCGGAAAACTTTTGGAAAAAAAAGGCACGAATGTTTTCACCTGCTGTCAATGGAGCGGTTTTTTTTTTTTCCTATGAGGAAAGACGAGACAAAGTTGTTTCCATCTTGACACCATCTGGATGTGACCTTGAAAGATACCCCTAAATAGAATCATCTGCCCCCTTTATTCTCTGGCGATAAAATCTCGCATGTATGATCGTATGCGGCAGGTGATTTCTGTGAAAGGCTCCGGCCACCCAGTGCCTTCCGAACCTGCGCGTCTGAGTGAGCAGAAAATGACATCCTGGAATTTTTTGGCAGGATCTCAGAGGGTGGACGAGGAACATGTCATTTTTAATTAGGTCTAAAAGCACTTTCTGCATGATTCTCCCCCTCCCGGAATAATCGGCATTGGCTATCCGATATTTTTCTGCCTGTACTTTCGTTGGGTTCGGTATATATTATATAATAAATATTATATAATTCAATATTATATAATTAGAAAAAAAATACCCCTTCTATTTATTGGACCTTTGTCGTTTCACAGGGAAAAAAGTACCTGCTCAATGCCTCACAGAGGGAACATCTGACCTGGGAAAAGGCATTTGCTTCATGATCACCATTTGGAAATCTTAAAACAAACAGCTGCATGAATGGTTATGGAAACATGCACTATGAGTGTTACCCTCCTGAGGAAGTGTCCATCATGGTTATGTGTGGTTCTTGAAAGGTGGTGCTAATGGAGATGAGGTGGCTCTGGTTTTTCCGATTTCGTGAGGGACATTTGCAGTGGCACAATTCTTCATGAATGTGGTTGGTTCATGGGGCAGCTGGTATGAAAAGTGAAGTACGAGGAAATATATCATTTTCAATATACATTATATTGGTCTTGAAGGCATTGTTTGCTAAGATTATTCAAGATCAGAGAGTCATATCTGAATGAGTATACTGTGTCGAGCATGAAAAGCTACTTTGGTAAACCTCCTGTAACGGAGGGGGTAGCAATGAAAGTTGTTTTATGTAACGTCCTTTCCAACCTTTATGAGTAAACACAAACAAAAGGAAAAGATAAAAAAAAGTGTATGCTAGGAGTGGGGATCGAACCCACGCCCTCCCTAGGAGGACCAGATCTTAAGTCTGGCGCCTTAGACCACTCGGCCATCCTAGCATCATATGTCGGAGTGAGGGAGTCCCGATGTAGTGTGCTTTCATTGCACAGCCATGGTGAAATCCATTGCAAAGTCTCATGGCATGAGATTAGTGCTTCCATGGTCCTGGAACGTCAGATAAGAGAGAGTGGAAGTGATAGAACAAAGAATGAATCATCTCTATCATTCAATTGAGAGGGGATTTCACAGGAAATCCCATCTCTTGACATTTGATGCAATAAATATGGGTCAGTGGAAAGTAACTTACATTGATAATTATAATTATAAAAAAACACAACCCAATGCAAAAGCAAAGGTCTGCCTCCTAAAGTGCAAAGTTGTCATGGAAGATGCTGTAGAGATTAACCCTTTCCATGCTACAGACAAGTATACTCGCTGAGTTTTACCCAATAGAGCAACATAAACTCAGCATTGAAAGGGTTAAAAGGGTGTCGTTGAGTGGCAGGAGGGGTTGGGAAGGAAGGAGGCAGCATCAGTATCCTATAGTCAGACTACATTTGGGAATCTTTTCAGAAGGTATTTTCATGGGCATGGAGTGTGAAATCAGCATCGCTATTGAACTGTAGGGTTGCAGTGATAATCACAATATGTTTGTATTTTATATGTTGTTGATACAAGAAGTAATATTTCTTTATTCATAATGCAAAAACTGAATAACTCAGCTTCTTCTATTCAGTTATCTGTAATATCTATGACTGCATGAGCTACTTGTAAAGGTCCAGCTTCATACATTAGACTTTACAGCCCAACTCAGCATGTCAATATTGGGTTTCCTTTATCTAACCCTCTTATCAGATCCCCACCCCTCTTGATGAAATGATCTCAAATTTTTCTCATAAGCATTATATCTGGTCATTGCCTTGTAGTCCTAGGGTCAGACCTAACATTTCGCTTGACCTAGGCCTTGTTAGGTCTATAATATAATTGCGTAAACCTGCTCAGACTTTTCAGAGGATTGAAGTAGTCAAGGCCCAAGTGATCATAAGATAGAGCACAATTCATGTGGTCAATGTGACAATCTTGAGTATCCCATGCCAAATTTCGCAACTCTTCACATCTCTTTTGGCTTTGATCAAGCCACTAGCAGATTTGTTTGCAGGTGTTCCCATTGTTGAAGGTCTTGGGAAGTGCTCCTGCTTCTCAATGCTCATATAATCTGCTCTGAAATGTCTTACTTGTGTTTTCACTCTTGTGTAGCTCATGATATCATTAACATTCATGTTCTGCATGTGACCATAAATGTTCACCACAGATTCTCATTCTTTAAAAGAATACTCAATCACTGCTTGCTACTTCAACAATACTTTATTGCCGACTTCCATTCTTTTTATCAGCTGCAAAATATAACATGAAGATTAGATTTGTATCCACAGGCCTTCCCCTGACTTGGTGAGATGTGCTATGTGTTAAACCACATGTATCCACTTTTAGTTGGGGAAAAAAAAGGATTGAAACTTGGAGGATGGCCTCAATAATAATTACTTGTAGCCTCTCTTAGATGAAAGAAATTGCATTAGATTTTGAGTCTGTTGGAATGGTTACAATTTATATACCTTGCATATTTTGCAAAATATGTAAAGAATATGTCTCACTCAGAGGTGAGGTATTCACATTATAGTCTTGTTTTTCCCATACTTTACATGTATATTAGAGCATAATTTACCCTACTTCATAGAGAAAGGACTTTTAATTATTCTTTATGCATATTTGAGTTTTCCACTTCCTTGCTTACAGCCACCAGCATGCCAACTTTAAATTTCTTTTATTTTGCAGGTGCTCATTGTATTGTATTAAGAGAGAGTTGCCAACTGTAAAGGAGGTTGAAACCCCAAACAGGGCTTTAAGGGGGTGTATCTTTGAATTTTTGTGAGGCTCTGTTTCCAAGTACAGATACATCATGGCAGAGAAAAGAGAAAGTGAGCGTCTGAGTTTGCTCTGTCTTTATGTTCCTATATTAATTTGACACAAGTTAAGATTTGCATGGTTCCACGTTCCAGGACGGCTCACTGCCGACAGCACTTTCTCTTCCTTCTCGGCCGCATCCGGCTCTCAAAAGGCCCAGTATATGGAAAAGCAGAAGCACAAGCTTCGTCAGAAATTGGAGGAGGTCTTTGAAGAAAAGCAGAATGCTGTCTCTTCTTTGGAACAGATATGTACCAAAGTGAGTGTAACTCTGAAGTTCTGAAAGGTCATCATTCTCCATATTATCAGATCAGAAAATATATTTTTCCCAGAGTGAGGATTTGGTTATCTTAAAATTGCTACTTTTCTGTGTCTGATTTATTGTATTCTCCTCATCCTCACAGATTCAGAGCATTGTAGAATCAGCCATAACTGAAATGGACTCCAAGGAGTTTCTTCGTAAACACAGAATGGCTTCCAGTGTAATGGAAGATGTGTTGGAGTGGTTGGTGACCATGAACACAAGCCTTTATGACCAACCCTTTATGTCATCTGAAGATAATCTGGAGGAGCTCAGGTACCAATGGAGATACCTAGAAATCTGCTAGCCTTTTGGGTTAGGTCAGCACCAAAGATGTGGTAGTAAATATAGCTCTTCTGTGACTACACATATATCCATATTCAGTTTACACCAAAGCAGAATGTGCAAGCTTACTTTTCACTCCTATATATGCTTGTGAAAAATAATGGAGGGCTATTACCTCCATCTTATTTCTCCTTTCAATACCTGTATATAGGCCTATTTACAAAAATCAGGCATAATGCTTTTCAAAACCATTTCATGTTTTTGTTGTGTTGAAGTCCATCTATGGAATTCAATCTTTGTTTTTTATCTGAAAAATTTCATATTTGCATTGGCACCAAACAATAAGTAGATCTGATGCATCCATTACACTTCCATTGGAAGTAAGCAGGTTTGTGAGGTGAAATGTATTACTGTACATTAGCAGGTGCATGACTCCAACCTCCACTGACACACTGGTGTTTGAGGTACCTCCTTCCCCGAGACGCAACTCTATCCAGCTCACGGACTACCATCCAGCATCATCACTGACCTCTTCTGTGGATTTGGCAAACTTGGAGCCCAAAGTTGAAAGCAAGAGCTCCCATCCACAGGAGATTGGACATGGTGTGAGCTTGGGCAGGAAGATTGAAGCAACAGTCCATTCCCAAGATCGTGTGTTCACTCCTTCTTACTTCTCCATCAAGAACATTCAGATGACTCAGCAGGTTCTTGCCTTGGAAGGGGAAATAACGTGAGTATGCCTGAGTTTACAGGGAATCTGTTGGGGGTTTGCAATTATAAGAATTTGTACAGGCCTATAAGAATTTTTCTTGATATTATCATGATAATTGTCTGGCGATAACTCACCCTCCTAGGGTGAGTTATTGGTTTGATCCTATACCCTTTGATCAAAGCCTGATGATGAAATTTCATAAGGTTTTATTTGAGAGGTTGAACCTTGAAATAGTATTACACTATCAATTGATGTCCTTATTTTTTTGTAGCTTGCATTATAACCATATGCACACGGATCACCTACCCACACCCATTCCTGATGATCGTCTGGTAGCCGTGCGCTCAAAATGCGATAATCGGTGGCACAGGGGCCGTGTCACTGACCTGGCTGAGAATGGCACCGTTAACATCTTCTATGTTGACTATGGCAATTTTGAGCTTGTGGCCCATGAAGACATCAGGCCTCTTGCTTCTGACTTCAAGTATCTTTCACATGCAGCTAACATTGTCTCACTCAGGAAGGTAAGTGTTCATGTAGTTAATATTGAAATTGCCATTCTTTATACTGCCTCTTTAAGTTTGGTATCATTGAGAAGATACTTTGTAATTTATGTCTTGGCTCTCCATTTTGTGAAAGACCTCAACTGGAAGACTTAATACTGGCTGTTTTACAGCCATTGAATTATAGGTTTTCTCAACCTGATAACTCTATTTTTTGGTTTTCAATTACCTTGGTAACTGGGAACTGGTGACTGCTAGTTGTATCCCAGAAACAGCAGGACAAGAAGCAAAAATCATGTGAAAAAAACAGATGAATAGAAATTCATTGTGATGCAAGAGAGAGCAAAGGGAGATGATCTGAATCTGGATCTGAATCTGCATGCTTAATTCTTTCACTGCTATGATAGAGTTAACTTGAGCATGGAAATGTGTATCATTTGGTGACATTTTGTCTAATGCTTCTTAATTGAGATTTTTCAGGATAATCTAGACCAATCCAGTTATACACTTAGATAATAAAATTGAGAACATATAATTTTTTTTATGTAGGGCTAACAGTGTTATGCCAGAAGTGAACAAATCAGCACAGGCATACATAAAGTTCTTCATCTCATTTTGGGCAAACCTAAGAAATCTTCCTTTTCTGAAATTGTCTTCCTATGATTTTTACCAATTGTTCAGCCACAAGGTTGGGAGGTAGCCTTATATGGAATGAATGACTTCATAATCTTGATAAGAACTCTATTAGATGAAGCAAAAGTTTTTATGCACCATGAGCTTGTTCATTCATGGACAACCATTGGTTTTTTTTTAGCATGTATGTAAGGATGAGCTTAGACAGGTTGAAACAAATTCAAAACAGAGTGTATATAGGGTGCTAAAAAAAGAAAAGGGCTCACCATGAGAATAAAAGGCTACTCTTTGTAGTTGGATATCTCTGCTTAGGCTTGCAATATAAATTTATTTGGTTTTGCTTTGTTTGTGGCTAATGTTTTTCTTATTTTGGACAGGTTTTTTCAAAGGTGATCCTTGTGTTATTTGTAGGTGCGACCTAACTTTGGGTCCGAGTGGTCTGAGAGGGCAATCGACCAATTCTTCCACCTGGTCTTCCAGAAGCTCCTCATAGCTGAAATGTTCCCCTCTCAGAGTGGGATCACCAATGTCCAGGTGGATCTCATTTTGAAGGAGGCTGGGGTCAACGTAGCCGAGGAGTTGGTGCGGATGGGCTATGCCGAGTTCCAGGGAGAGGCCAAGCCACCCCAAGACACATGGTCCATTGCCTCTGTCCAGGGCTCCGTTTTCTCTAGTCGGGCCCCATCTGTGACCAGATCTCAAGCTGGAGGTGATCCTCAGGATAGTGTCACTGGTATGCTGCAGGAGAATTGGTCCAACATTTCTGTGGCTGGATCCTGGACCTATCCTCCAACCCCTGCTGGTAAGCAATGACTTACTAAGAGATCCTCATTTTCTCATTAGTTTTCTGCCCTATCTCTAAATATGGTCTACCATTGCAATGGCTATAGCAAGGAGTTTAGCAGTGTTGGTGAAATGCAGTCTGCAAACTCCTAGCAGTATTTCATGAAGTTGATTAGAGTTTATAGGACTTGAGTGATTCTTCACAGAGAACTTGCTGGATGCTTTACTGCAAAGTGGTTTGGTAAACAAACTACTAAATGCTCCAAAGGAATTCTTAGTAGGAGTTCATTAATGAAATGTTGAATAGGAACTCCCTAAGATCTGCAGAAGAATCAAATACTGTTTTAAAGGCATGGGAAGAAGACAGATGTTGAAAGCCTGCTGAATCCCTGAGGGATGGGGGAAGAGGATGGCTTAACTTGCCAGTTTCCTTTAATGTGTGTTTAATGGCAAAGCCATGCTAAGACGATGTTGGTGAAGAAGCATTGCTACATCTTATGGTGTTTGATCAATGTTGGTTAATTGGGATGAATGCATCAACCCGATGAATGCTTCTGGCAGATGCTGCTAAGCATCCTAATTAACAGACTTTGATGAAATGCTAAAACAAGTTGGTGGAAATGCTTTTGGAGACACTGTTCTGGCCTGACTTTGTAGTGAAACACAGTAGTAACACACAATAATGTAGTGACTTGAGGGAAGAAAAAAAGGAAAATTGCATTCCAAGTAACACCATCCCCTTCTCCCATTCCTATGGTGTTGAGCAAGTTTTACTTGTATGGTTCCATCTTACCTTGGAACTGCATGATATTTCTGAACACCTAGGGAAGTCCCTCCTCATTTCATTTCGAAAGTTATGCAATTATGCAAAATATGTCTTGGCAGCCATTGCACATATCTTGTGGACACCTTGTATGTAGTTTCCTTGTGTGAACAACTCTCACTAAGCCTTCAAACTGAAGTTATGGGTACTACAAAAGTGTAACTTGGTTCTGGAAGTATGAAAGTTTCAGTGCTGTTTCTTTTGGGTTACACAACCTCTGAATCACCCTGTATAATAGTGACATACACCTTCCCTTTGGGATCACATCAGCTGTTTGGTAATTGACAGAAGGACTTGGCTTCTGGCCCAATCAGGAAGATGTGGCTGACATGGTCTGTCAGAATAAAATCATTACCTCGGGCCACTTCAGCATTTGAATACTGACATTTTTATACCAATAATAAACATCTGCCAATATATAATAATTAACATTTTTCCAGCATACATGTTGAATACTTTGGCCAGAGCCCTCCTGGTCCCAAGGGAACAATTGGAAATATATATTGTAGCACTGGAAGTGTTAATGAACTTCTGGGTGGTCCTCTATGGCATTTAATAGGACCATTTTTCCTTTTCAAATTAGAGTGTTAAGGAAGCTCTCTGATAGATCATCTAAAGCCCTTTAAACTCCTAATTGATTTCATGTCACACTGAATGCAATTGCATGATCAGAATTTATTCTCTGTTGCACAGCTCCTTCTTAGTGTTATGAAAATTGTCATGAAATGAAAATTTTCTTGTCATTCTACAATCTTCTTCATTAATGAGATGGATGTGTCAAACTTCAAGCAATATTGTTTTGTCAGTGTGATCATACATGCAAGACCTCCAAAGTGCTCTTTGATGTACCTTTGTATGTCTACTATGTATCAGCATTAGGGCAAGCATAATTATTAAATAAAGCATAATGGGTTATTGCAGTTTCATTAAGTGGGGGACAAGATGCAGATGAGTTTGAACGTAGCATGAAGACAGATAAATGGAAGGCAGCAGTTCCTGGCAAGGTGTCACCCCCAGAGCACCTCAAACAGTCCCCTGTGACACCATGCAAGAAGGAATGTTCACTGGACTCAATTGAGCATTCCCAAATCGATGAACCGCTTACTCTGGAGAGCATGGTGCCTCCCTCAAGTGCCCCAGCAGAACAGATTGAAAATGATGAAAGCAGGAAAGATGTGACTGTAGGGAATTCTATTTTGGATTCCCTGCCTGTGGAGGGGAGGTTAAGGCCAAATCTCTCAACTGTGTCGCTGGTGGGATCCCAAGACCGCAGTGAATTTGATCTGGGTCAGTGGTGAAAAATCAGATTCCAGTCTGTCCTCTTGGCCTATTGAAACTTGGCATAGTACCAAATTATCAGCTATTGTGATTGGAAATTTGTATTTTACAGGTACTGACACTGATGGAGAAGCATGCATTTTTACTGAGAAGGATGGTGCAGGTACTCATCATTTAGTAGCACTGACTTCTCAGGCTAGTTTTTCATAGAGGAGGTTTTTGGAAAACAAAAACCTAGGTGTATCCCCTATTTCCATGCCATGGATCCTATCTTTCATTTGGATTAGTTTGTGAAAAAACTAATAAAAGGAACATCAAGGTGTAGTTATTTTCTGAGAATATACTTTATATACTATAGAATATACTATAGACTTGAGTCTATACTTTTCAATGCTGACTTACTGGCCCACAGAAATTCTATATTATATAACTTCTTTGTTAATGCATACATTTGATCAAGATTGATACTAGATTATAAGAATCAAGAATGCTCCTATGTTGGCTCATTTGTAAGCCCTATTGTGGCCCATGTTGAACACATTTCCTTGCAAATTTTCACCAGCATAGCTGTCTAGTACAGTGTACATCTTCCTCTTTCTCTGACCAGCAGACAGGATGAAAGAGGACTATGAGGAGGCAGAACTCGTGCGAGTGGTTCCACGGTTATTGAAGCCAGAGGAAGAGTTTGAGATGGTAACCTTCCTGAAGATCGCAGAGCTGTCAGAACCAAATGGGTCAAATGTTGTGTTCTCACACGTTGAGTCGCCAGGTGACTTCTCTGTATACGAGGTCAATGATAAAGTCCTCCAGGTGGATAAGTGAGTTGATACCTTTCCATTTCATTTGATTGTATATCTTGGGTGTTTTTTTCCACTGCTGGTATGGGTGATCATGTAAACGAGTCTGTCTCCACATAGTATCTCATGTTATGTGGACACTCCATTGAAATTGACCCATGACTTGTTATTCTTTTACTAATTGGTTCTTTCAAAATAATCTTACTATCAGATTCTACTGTTTATGGGAGAGGTTGCTGGTTATTACCATAGACTGAGTCTGTCAAAATGTCCCAGTCCATCTTTCAAGTAACAAGACTATAGCTGAAATGTGATGCATTGTATGTGAAATATATGTCGAATCCTTCATGGAATGCAAGTTAAAGTAATTTTGATGATTCTACAGGATCTAGTAAACAAAACCCTCAATTTTTTAACCAATTTATCTTTGCTATTGCTGGAATTACTTTAATAAAATTTGCACTTTGTATAGACTGCTATGTTCCCAACAGCCTTACTAAATGCTGGATTTTTGTTGCTCTTACTTGGTTGAAAAGACTGCTCATGGCAGCTTGAAAGTGCGTAGAAAGATGCACTGGTTAATTGCTTGGCTGTTGATTGACCAAGGAAGCTGTTGCTTTTCTGATCCCACAATCTTCAAAGTTCTGACAGAGGTGTCAGTGGCTTTGCAATTGGGCTAAGTCATTGACAAAGTTGCCTGCTGATAGGATGAATTTCCTAAGGTACTGCCTGGGTCTTTATTTCATGTACATGGTATTCCTGCAACTAGTGGGAGATGAAAAGAACTGTTAGAACCTGGCTTATAATTATTGAATATTTCAGGTCTGCAGCATTATGTGATAAGAGAAGGCAGGGATACAATGACCACTTGAGTTTTCTGGCTTTGCTCCTTGTTAGTCAACCATTCTGCATATACAGGGTGGGCCAAAAAAACGAAGCTGTCATTTTTGGTGAGTTGTCAATTTCTTTGTAGGCTGTTGATTCAGATTAAATTTGGTAAGCATAAAGGGTGACATAATTGGTGTTAGTGTGCTGAATAGTGATTCAGCTTTCTGGCTCTAAAACTATAGAATCTTTCATTATTTTCCCATGACCTACTCCAAAATGTGCTGTCCAAAATATCATTATGAACTTCAGACTGAATGGGGTGAATGGGAGGACAGAATTCATGACCTTCCATCCCTACATGGTGCAACAGAGGAAGTTTAGGAGGCACTACCACAAAGATTCATCAACTGAACCATTGATCCAAGGCATACCAGATCAGAGGCTTGTTTGTGTGAAGGGATGAAATGTAGGGCACATTGAGCACCTTTTCAGTTGAAATTAAACTTCATAAACCAAAGTGTGTTTTTTGTTTTTGGCATTTGTGAATGTTGTTTTTGTTCCATTCTTTCAATTGGTTTTTCTTCAGTTGTGAGAAATTTTAAGTTTGAAAAAAAAAAAACACTTTTTTGGTAATCAAAAGTAAATTAAAAGCAATTTTCATGCTTTAAGGAATTTTGATATGAAACTTGACAAAAACCATAATTGAGTCCCCCCCATGTGCCCACCAAATTTCATAGGAATTGGCAGCCTATAATTAGATTGACAACTCACTGAAAATGATAGCTTGGTTTTTTTTGGCCCACCCTTTTAACCCTTTCAGTGTCCACCCGTATCGTTATCCCACAGGCAAGCACACAGGCGCATCCCATGTACGTACTCAGGATGACGCCGAAAGGGTTAAGGGAATGCACGGTGGCCTTAGCATGCTACTGGGACACTTATACCTTGCCAGTTTCAAGAGTCTAATCAAACCAGTTCTCTATTATTTGCTCTTTAACCAAAGTTTGGTTTGCTTTTGCACAGTTTGAGGGAGGAAATGCAGAACTTCTATGCTGGAGGGCAAAGGTTGCCAAAACCCTGCCTCAAAGAAGGGTTATTCATTGTGGCCTTCTTCCCTGACGATGGGTTTTGGTATCGTGCTCAAATTCTCACCAAGAAAGGGGTATGGTAATGTTCATATCTCTCACGATGTCAGAAATTCCCAAAATTCAGAATTCGGGGGGGGGGTCTTACTTTGGGCTAGAGGACAGACATATTTCATGTCAGTGTGAACTTCATTAATACATTTAATCATTTGTACTTTTCATGGTAGAAAATTTCATGAGTATCTTCACAGTGGGCACCAATAAGGATCCACCCTTTCTTATTCCCATTTTTCTTCTTCATTTTTCATTTGCAGTCAGAGTACCAGGTGCTGTATGTGGACTATGGGAATCAAGCCACAGTGAATGAACCTCAGATCAAGCCTCTCCTCAGGCAATTTGCCGTCTTACCTGCCCTCACCATCCGATGCAAGCTTGCAGAGGTGACTTGCTTCATTTCAAGTTTATGTAAATTGGTATTTGTTTGATGATCAGTTGCCCCTATACAGCTTGTTGAGCATCCTTCTTTGACAGCTTGCCCCCTTGTTGTTGAGCTCTTAGTTACGTATAGGTCCCACCTCTAATTATTGTGCATTCCTTTATCTTTTTCCAGATTGCACCTATCTCTGGTGATGAGTGGACTGAGCCAGTCAAGCTCTTCTTCCAAGAGGTGGCTCCCGCAATGAACCACGTCTTTGTACGCGTCATTGATCGGTTTGTGGTCACCGTTGATTGTTACTCTGAATTAAATCTCTTGGAGAGTGGAGAGCTTTGGATGATGGTTGCAGGGACTTGGATGGAATTCTGAGCGTGATAGCTGTTGATGAATCACGAGGGGATGGATTGAGCTACAACAAACTCCTTGTCCAAGAGGGATATGCTGCATATTTATATGACACCAATGGACAGCTTGAAGGTGCAGTCCCTTTTGTGAAGGGAAGAAATTAGAAGATGACATTATCCATACGTTTGAAGCAAATTACTGAACACCTTGTGTACAGGTCACAGAGAACTGTGATTGTCCATGCAAGTGTTACATACAGATCTTGAAGAGCTACATTTTTGTGTGTTGACTCACTAATGTGCATGCTACTGCTCTGGTGCATTTTATTTGCTGTTGTGAAAAATCTGCACTTTTTGAAGTGATGTGGTTATTTTTTGCAAATTGTATAAGATATCCAAGATGGACAATCACAGCTTTCTCTGTGACTCATACGTAAGGTGGTGACTTTTACACAGAGTGTTAAGTGATGTTGCCATGGTAAATGACAGTAAAGAATAGCAGGCCTAAGTGAAACTGTATATGAAATGAAGTTGTGAACTAAAGTGAGTGATACTGATTGCTAGAGTTAATAGGCATAAAGTAAGTTGTATGAATGGGCTCAAGCATGTGTGCAAAGTGTGAATGATTTAATTCAGTGATACTGCAGACACAAAATAACAAAAATGCCATTATTGATTCTTGAGTCAGAGGAGTGAGAAAGAGCTGCTGTCCTTATGAGCTATCCCTGCTAAGTTCTGTTTCTGTATTCATTTCTGTATCAGCAGGGTCTGGCAAGGATATGAAGCAAGAAGATGAGTTGAACTGGAAGGACTTTGATCCTATGAAGGAGGACTTTGAGTCCCGTCGCAATGCATACGACTACGATGTGGATGATGCGGGGATTGCCATCACGGGTCACAAGGCCCAAGATGAGGCAACAGTGTGCAAGTTCTTTCGCAGTAACAAGCCATGCCCTCGCAGAGACCTCTGCCCCTTTCGACACATCCTTCTCCCAGAAGGTGAGTCCCATCCCATTTATTCTCTGTTCCTCGATGTAGGGAAATCTGTGACTTTTGGTGGAGGTGGTGGGGGTTGAGGGAAAATATTTCAGATAGTGAATATGATCCATTGTTGTGCTTTGTTGGAGAAGATGTTTTGAAGTGCGGAACACATTTAGTCTTGAGGCTATCACGCTTCCTATTGTTTTTTTTAAATGCTCCGTGGTTCTGCTTTATTGTCCCTTTCTTGTAAAAGTTAGACCCTACTGTGGAAGAAGAAATTGTAATTGGGTCTGATCAGTAATTATAGTCAACTCTTTATGTTACAAACATGGATATAACAAAAAATCAGTTGTACCAAAATCCTTGACACTGCCCTATTGAATTTCTAATGACACCCTTGCAAAAAAATTAGACAAAAATAGCATCAGATATATCAAAATTTCAATTATAATGAAATAATTTCTGTATCCCCTGCTAGTAAGGACACTGGATATAAAATGAATTTTTCCCAAATCAAGAGAGAAACAAAACTTTTTATTTCCCTCTTAATGGAAGCACAGAAGGGTCAGTTCTTATCCCCATCCAGCCTTTCAACTCATTGCTGCAGCTACGTGGCCTATAGGATGTGTGAAATCATCCCATGTAAATTTCATTTTATGAGGTTTTGGGAGGTGTATGCCCTGTACACTGTGGAGGCTTTTAAAAATTCAATACATTAGGTGCCAATGCATTATTCTGATGCTTTAACCTCAAGGCTACTTGTGGCCTGTGGGATATGTGGTAGGTAATGTGTTGGGTTGTGCCTGGCAAGCACGGCATGTCAAGGGTAACTTTCCTTGAAACCCTCAGAAGCCACTGGGCCCTCATGATACATTGATGGGATGAGCAAGTCATGTTTACACTAGCATAATATGGATTCAATCCTCTGTTTGGAAATATATGACCAATTCCTGATAATGAAAATCTAATATAATGAAATAATTCTGACTGCTTCATATACTTCATTATAATAGAGTTGACTGTATGTAATTCAGAATCAGGGGTCTGATGTGCAATTTGTAATATAGCAGGTCCACTGGTCCTTATTTGTGTCCATTTACTGAGTAAACACATTTAGCACATCCATATTTCCCATCCACATTCCCTTGTAGATGGGATGACAACAGACCAAAAGGAGATCTACAACAACATTCCCAAGCCAGAAATCCCATGTGATGACACACTTCTCATGGTCCAAGTCACTGCCATGTACCACCCATCCCACTTCTACGTGAACTTTCCTCGGGGGATTGGGAACCTCCGCTCCAACGACCTCAACTGTCAGTTGTGGCCTCAGTTTCTATGATCAAGGCTAAAGCTGTAATATTTAGATTTGATAAAGATCAAGTAGTATTACCAAGATATTGGTATTCAATATTGTTTCTGCCATAGTCACAGGAACATATTATAATTATCTGAGATTATTCCCAGGTGAGTGTATGATATACTGTATTTACTTGTGTATAAGATGCATTTTTATGAATATTTTATTGTTTTTTTGAGGGTCTTTATTCGAGGAAAAGAGCTTCTCTTTTTCGAGAAAATTTTTTTCTGCATATCTATAACTCATTAGTCACTTATTGAGGCGGAAACAGTTTCTGTAGTCTGTCAGAACAGGAAGTATAATATTATAATAATGGAACAGTAAACAGGGAGTGGTTACGTCTATTCATGGACTTCATTCGGTCTTGGAATTGGAATCTGAGATGTCTGGCAGTGTGGAAAATCATATGCAGAGCTCTCATCCTCCTCTGAGGGGCTATTCCAGAGACAATAACTTCTCATTGAAATTTTTTGAGCCAATGAGGTTTTCAGGCAAAGAGAAAGTCCAACATGCTTCATGAATCATCCTTGTCCTCATCATTCATCCTCATGATGCATTGAATTTTCTATGGGAAATCCTGCTTGCTCTTGCAATTATACAGGTTCATGTCTAGATCATGCTAGTTTTGCACAGAGACCATCTTTTCTAGGCCAAAAACTGGTAAACAGTGCCAGAATGAAGTGAAATGTTTAAACGGTATGCTTCATGGAAGATTTTATTACAGAAGTACAGACTTTCGCTTTTTTGTACTCTGCCACTTCCTTCATGATCACTGGAAACAATCCCTCTTTCCCCACAAAAGGCCATAAAATTCTTTAGTGCCCAGCTCAATTTCGCCTTCACCTAGATCCCCTTCCATATAAAGCTTTCCTCGATGTTATACTTACAACTTTTTGCACAGATGCCCTACTCCTTTGCTTCCTGAATCACTTTGATTTCTCTGCTGCTGTGTAACTTTGCCATGCATTTCCATCCATTTCCATGGATAGTAAAACAAATGTTAGGGATATTGTGCCCCCTCTCAATAAAGGTCAGAACAGTGAATAAGAAGCTAGGTTCCGACCAACCTCACGACCAGCTTTACCCCTTCCTCATCTTCCTTGTCCAACACTTTATGGTATGAAATAGAGGGGTGCACCTTATACATGGGGAATTTTTTTTTTATATGAACTGGGACCTCAAAAGTGGGGGTGTGTCTTATACTCTGAGGTGCACTATACTTGAATAAATGCGGTAATTCCAAATTAAGACTTTTAATCCAATATGAATCCATTTACTGCTTACATGATGTGCAAATACATCATACTCTTACTATCAATAAGTCCATGTTAATGTGTTAATGTGCCATAATTTTATTGGTTTCTTATATTCAAATAATATTTAAATACATTTATATAGACTATTGCCTATTTTCCAATTTCTTGCTGCACACAGCCCAGGTTTAGTTGGTGATTGCAGTCCATTGGTACAACACAAATTTGAGACAAAGTTCCACCATGTTATCTTATAAATACTTTTCTCTAATGTGATCTTGCAGTGAACGGACTGATGGATTCAGGGTCATCGCTTGTGGAGGAGTTTTCACGGGAACTGCACGAGCACTATGACAAGCGGCGCTTCATGTCTTCCATACATGAAGTGCCTGCTTTATCTGAAATAATTGTTGCCTGTTCTCCCGGAGATAAACGCTGGTATCGGGCTCGTGTCATTGGCTACGGGGACGATCAGGAAGGAATGGTCAAGGTCAGTCCAAGGTCCCTCAATTGTTTTTGGAAGATTTCACATGCAAACAAGATTCTTGGTCAAAAATTAAGACCATGCTGCTATGTGATGGAATCACTGGACTGATTATGTTCTTGTTTCACTCCACAACAGGTGTTTTACTTGGACATGGGATTCATGGAGATGGTACCAGAGAAGGACCTGCGAATCCTGGATCCAAAGTTTGCCTCCACGCCGGCCCTCGCACTGGAATGTCGTCTCTTTGGGGTCCTGCCCTCTGTCGGATTCAAGTGGAGCTCCGTTGCCAAGTCTTACTTCATGAGTCTTATCTCTTCTACTCTTGACACCTTCCCTATTCTTGCTTGGATTGAAGGATGGTATGCACCTTTCATCATACATTCAATGTTCAACCTTGTTTCTCTTGTGAGTCTCAGGCATAGATGTAATTCATAGTCTGCTCATTGGAAAAATGGAGATAGTATGTGAAAAGTACCATTTATCTTAGTGATTCTGTGCAGTTCTAGAGTTCCCAATGTCATGCAGTTGACCTTGATAATGATAGACTAAAGTTAAGCTCTGTTTAGGTCAGCATGAAATGAAAGGAATGATACCTATATTGTTTTTAGGTTTATTGTCTTATCTTCCTATCTCTGAATATCACATTTGAAATTGTTTACCAATTCTACTGCATATTGTAATAATCATGATTGTATTTGTACATGTGACTCCTAAATGAGTGTGTAGCAAGAGCAGGACGGATCAACAATATGGATGTTCATTTTCCAGTTTTTTGTTATTGAAAATTTCCTCTTTAAGGATTGTGCTATTATGCACTTTTATCTGTTCAGTTGAAAAACTTATTTTTTAGAGAATCGAAGTTGAAAGCATAAGGAAGCATTGAATAGGATTTCTGCCCACAACTTTTAAGCACACTGAGATGCTAACAAACTGATTGTTGAAGGTTGATATGAGGCATTCAGTAGTTTTGCCTGGAGGGGTGTGGGATAGTAAGGAAATCTCACTGCCTGATGGAACAGATAAGGTCAACCCATAGTGATATACTCTGTCCAGGCATGGCTGTGATTGAGAATTCTGTAAATGGCTGGTAAATGTTGAATTATTCCATAAAATTATTTCTTTTAGCTATAAATTCATTTTTTTTTATGTATGGACTTTCTGCTCATTGGCAGTAGCTTTGGGAAAAAATTTTTTTTTTTTATGTATGTAGGAAAAATAAAAATTGCCCTACCCAGAAGTAAGAGACTAAATCTCCCAGAATAAGCTGAAATAATTGAAAATGGAAATGAGACCAGAAATATTCATTACTGCTGAGAGAATAAGGTTCTGGAGGGATTAAAAAGTGATGGATGATTGAAAGTTGAATGGTATCCATAGGGATCAGCAAGAAGATGTCCTCCTGGTGAGTCTATTTGCAGTGAGGGACAAGGTCCAAAACATTGGAGCGATGCTTGTTGAAAAGGGACTTGCCCGTCGAGACCTGCCTGAACGCCGCTTTCGCGACCCCCCCATCCCAGCACACTCATGAACTGAGAGGATGATGCTACTAATCATCGCAGAGTCTCCTTGCACAAATCAGAAGTTCTTGAAATATTTTTCCCAAATTTATGTCTTTCTTCAGATGTGTTGTTATGGTCTTCATTCTGACTTGATGACTGACAAGTCTAATATAGCCATAGTAACAAAGAATTGACAAACTGGAAGATCTTTCTGTGTGCTTGGACTAATGAGAGCTTTTCTCCTTGTTATTCAATGTGGGTAAAAAATGTCAAGATCTTATACCTCTGTGTATTGCCTCCTGAAGTTTTCTTTTCAGGAATTCAGGTAGTGAATTTTTTTTTTTATAGACCATGTACATGAAGAAATTCTGTAGTTTTGTTTGCTCCCAACTTTTCTTTTTAAGTTTCCAGTTTCTCAATTCACAAATTTGGGAAAGCATTTTTGCATGAAAAGCTGAAAAGTGACAATAACTCAGGAGTATATACCATGGTCTTTCAAGGGCAAGACTACCTTTGGTTACTACATGCCTCTTTATGCATTTTCTGAAATTTCTTATTGGCATTGAATAGATAGACATTGAGATGCTGGTACTCGGGCATAAACAGTGAGCTTTCAATGTAATGTTTTTTGCTCACGAAAAACTCATTCAAAATGTTGCATGAATGTTCTCATTCTCACTCAAATGCAGCTGAGATCCCAGGTGAGGAGAAATGTGATCTGGTGCATTCAGTATGAAAGTCTTTCTTGCCGAGAGAACTTTACTTGTTTGTTGAAGACATTTGGATATTATTCTGGACTAAGTCATGTTTTATTTCAAGATAAGGTGAAACTGGAAATCCATGATCCTTGGGCTGGCACCTCTCATGTTGCCACAGCTGGATTTGCTGGATTTGCCCTATTGAAAAGGAACTCATTAGCAATTCATAAAGATCACAATAATGGGTAAATGTTATCATTTGGAAGTATTGATGACCTGGCTACAGTGTTTTGGCCCCCTCTATAGAAGCAACATAAAATTCAAACAGGAAGTCCATAGATGAATTTTAAAATTCTTGTCTAACCAGGTGCTAGATGATGAGCTCATTTGGTTTCTATTTTTTAAATTTGATTTTATAAGTTCTCTTTCAAGGAGAACATTCAAAGAAGTTTCATTTCTCTGTTTTGGTTGTACAGAGAACAGCAATCACCAAATCTTAGCTGATTGCCATAGATATAATTGTGTGACTTTGGTCAGATGCTTCCCATGCCTCGATACAAATGCCTCTTGAATGAATCTGGAGATGCAGTTGAAAATTGTTGGGAATAAATTTATTTTCATTCATACATTTGAGTTGCTTGCACATTCCATATGTTGCACTGAGACAGCACAAGCATGTTTTATTTTAAATTTTCATTTCACATTAAAAATTCATACAAGTTAAATGCAAGGTGAACCTTATTTCTCCATGATGGTGCAAATGCAATTTCTTCAAAATCTTCCCTATTTGCAATGTCTACACCATCCCAAGGATTGGTGTAGTGTCTCCACTCTCATCCCTTTCCCACTCTACAGGGTGTCTGATAAGTCACTATACCATTTAAAACTGTAATATTTTCCAAACTGCAACATGCAGGTCTCTGCTGTTGGTATTGGTGGAAAGACTGTTCTTTAGAATTTTATTCACAATAATGACTTGAAATTAGACTCAGACAGAAACAGCTTTAAATGCTTATTAGAAAGATGTACTTGTTTATGGACATTTTTGATACATCATGTTGAGAGCACTCCTACTTTGTTTTTCTCTCCTAATTTCGATTAAGTTATATTTAGAAGAATTATATATATAACTTATAGTAAGAAAAATTATATTTAATTTAATTTACATTCACTGTCATGGGAAAAGGCTTTGCAATTGATGCTGGAGCAATGAAAAAGTTGCAACCTGGATGGAGGTCTTTGAGAGTCCCATCAGAGTTCAAAGGGAAATCTGGTGTTTTTTTGGTGCCCAGCCTCATGGCAGATGTATCGATATAGGTAGAAGGCATTTTGAGGTATTTTAAAAACTCAGAATAATTTCCATTTTTTACAAATGTAATTTCAAATGACATGATATCTTTCAGTTAATGTTCTTTCTTTTTTCAACTGTTAAGTAAATGTGATTTTTTGAAATGGTATAGTCACTTGTGGCACACCCTGTATATCAATCTCATATATTGGAATTTTATGGATGTGCACCTCTCCTTTTGCCTCAGAGTTCTGTATACAAATCTGAGTTTGTGGGTTTTGAGTTTGACACTTAAGAGATGAGAAAGAAATGGTGTCAGATTTGATTAATGTAATTCCAATGCTGCTTCCTTGTATTCCCCTTTACTGTGGTGCACCGATATGCTCCATTCAAGCCAGCTTGTTCCTGCTTATGAACATGAACTGTACAAGTGCAATAAATGGAATATGCTGCATGGCATCAATGACAAAGAGTCACTTCTCTTGCCATATTCAGTGGCTGTAGGGGTTTTTCTGCTCCTGCCTTATTACCCTCCAATTTATGAGATAAAATATGGAATAGTAACTCCATTTAGACAGTGCAAGTGGTTCAAGAGGGAGTTACTGTTTCCTTTTTCTGTCTGTCGAAACAGGATTTTTTCCAAAGAGAATAACAACATTTTCCTTTCTTTTTCATGAAATTGTTTGGAAAACAAAGAAGTAGTTCCTGTTGGATTCCTTTTTTCACAAGGAATACTGCTGTAGGGAAAAGAGTGATTGAAACATTAAATATGCCCCAAGTTTAAATATATTTTGAGTAATTTTTTCTCCTGAATTGAAGAAAAGAAAAGGGCCTATTGTTCAAATGCTCTTTAATTTCACAGAAGCTGGTTCTTTCTATTGACAAAATTACATTATCCTGTAAGGTTTATATGATTGTAAGTTCATTGTAAAATTATGAACCTGCATCCCTGCAGCTCTAAGTGCATCATGCTTCTGGACCATATATTGGCAAATTGCAAATGAAATTGTACTTCAGCTGGAGATCTTTTCCTTGACATGACTAGCTGAATTGAGAGAGATTATCTTGCCAGAGAATCTAAAAGTATATCTTAGTAATTTGATTTGAATCAAACCTGAAGCCTAGAAAATTTCGCTATTGATTGGAATGAGAGATTCAAATTTAGCAAAAAAGTAATTAATTTTGAATTGAGGAAGCATGAATGAATCCCAAGAACCAAAGTACTAATCCCCTGGAGCATAGGATTCCATTGCAATTCAACTCTCATTGATGTAAGTCAATGTGACCCATGTACACTGAGCAGGTTCAGAAGCTTTCTTGAGATGGTTCAGATCATGGGGAAGCCAAAGGAGTTTGTGAACTTGGGTGCCTCGGCCTTCTTTGAGTACGGCACTTGGTTTTAGCAGGTGTAGGCGTCGTTCGCTCAGCCGTAGGAGTTGGCGAAACAGGTTGAGACGTAGTAACGGATGTAACAACCCATCGAGTGAGGACGAAAGAGAGCAGAAAAACCTGTAAACTTGTGTGTCACAATAAAGATGGGTGTATCAGGTTTTACCATGATTCAAGTTGAATCTGTCAGCATTGCTTTGAAATGAGTATTTCCAAATAGAATCATGATTCTGTAGCAGAATCACAAATAATACATGATAATATAACAAAATGCAGGTAAAATATAGTTAGAGCTGAAGTAATGCAATTTGAAACATATCTTTTGAATTTTGAATCTGAAATTAATAAGTTCATTTGTTCTTTAAAGAATTGTCAGCAATGATGAAATCCAATTTTTCCAAAAATATGTGATTGGGACATAAGCAGACGGACCAGAACCATGGTTGGCCAGAGTAGTTCTTGCCATTAGCAGCACTCTTTGGTTTTCATGCCATCTTGGCTCTGGTATACACTATTCATTGCAAATTAGTATCGTATATCAAGGAAAAGGGAAGCAAGCCATAATATTTTCAAGTTTTCATTCCGAAGAATCTAAATCTCAAATTAGACTTGCAACTGGTTTGGCTAGATTTTCAATCTCAAGGTGATGAATTGCATTGTGAATCCCAAAATTTGAAGGTGATTCATCTGTTAAGGCAGGAAGACTGCCTCATACTCCATAGACTATTTGCACAGTGATGAAATTCATTTGGTAAAAGTCTTTGTTTGTGCTTACTCATCTGGTCACTGGGTAAGTTTCTAAAAAGAAGGTACTCGAAGACCGTCTCTTAGGGAAATGTTAGTTTAAAAAAGGAAGAATTCTCGTGGGTATACACTGTTAGGGACATCAAAGTTCCATAAGTTTACAACATCGTATGTGATGGTGTACAATCGGGGATACCAGGACCGAGGAGATGTGGAGAGTGCTGTAACAACAAAAGTAAAGGGTGTTGCCTACTCCAACTTCTCAGACGACCAGCTTCATGTTTGTCACCTTTCCAAGTTCCCCATTGTCTGCAGAGGTTTTTTTTATTTCCTGAATTCCTGTAATTTCCTTTCTTTTTCATTTTCCAGGTCCCAGATGCATACAAACCAATGTATCGTCGAATCTGGGACGTGGCAGACCAGGTGATTCCTGCATCAGAGAATAATGCTTTCTTTGTTGCCACAAATGTCATCATCACTCCAAATCAGACCATAGGGCTCTGTCCTGAGGTTAGTACTGGAATCTGCCATCATACAATTTTCAACTTAAGTCTCAGTACACAGGAACTTTCTTCTGGTGACTCATCTGTCTTTGCCAAATGAAAGTTTTTACTTTGCATTAGCAAGATAGAAGCTATCTTCTTTAAGTTTTCAAATGAGGGCAGTATCTGGAACATCTTTGCATGTTCCTGGCAGTTTAAATATTTTTGTTTGTCTGACTTTAATGTTCTTCTGATCGAAGGATTATTTCCTTTTCTTCCCAGTGTGAAAGTTTAAAGTATAGACCTTATCCGTCTAAGGAATCGATTCCACCTACAGGTAAAAGGGTGGATTAACGTAGGGTGTTACGGTAAACTATCTCGTTCTCAAGCAGTGAAAAAGTATCAGTGGCCACACTGATCCAAAGTTACCCTGATTCTATGAAAAACTTGGCAATATTAGGCTGATTTCTGCATATAAGGTGTCTAAACCTACTAAATTGGACCCATAGGATTGAATCATGACAGTCTTTTGGATGTATAACATAGAAAATTCTTTGAAAAATATCACAGCCAGCTCTCTATAGGAGAGAAAGCCAATAAATTCAGATAATAATTATAACTAATAATCACTAATAAATAATAAAAACCTGCACATCCAATAAAAGTATTGTAAAATCAAGAACATTCTATAAATACAATAAATTAATGTTAAATTTGAATAAAATGCTGTATGAATAAGATAAAATACTGCATCAATCTGGTGTGTATTGCTACAAATTATCAATCGGGTATAAATTGATAACATCATATTGTGTTTTTGTCATCAGTACTATCCAGTACTACACTCATCACCCAGTGATGCGATAGGTACTTGGAATCTTGGGTAAATATCTGCCATACCTGAGGCACCATGGAACTGCCATAACATGTGCACTGCACCTTGCAGTTTTGACCAGCAATTAGATTTATTTTTTTGTGAAATTGAGATAAAATCAGGTTTCCCTACCAGTAGACACTTAATCTTTTTAGCAGTTAATCCCATGTAGCATCCAATGCACAAAGTGTATAGTTGGATGTTCTTACTTAGAAGCATGGAAGGACATTGGAGGTGCATCAGGTGGGGGAGACATGCTCATCATAGGCTCCCTAGTGAGGAGGCCCTCCAATTCCTCCCTGGTTTAGGTAGAAGCTCCTGATATCCATATCCATCCAGCTCCATATCACAGTCAGCTTTGATGGTCAGTGGTTTATTTATGGGTAGTGATAGCAATGGTTTGTTAAATAACTGTCACCATTTGATTCTATGGGTCTGATTTAGTAGGTATAGACAACTCACATGTCGAATCAGCCAAACTATATTGCCAAATTTTTTTGCCTTCTAGCAGGTCAGGGTGAGTACCATCTCAGAGCACAGTGTGACCATTGACACTCATGCACTACCTGAGGTGCTCTATCGATTGGCACCAGTTTCATTGTGGGACGTGATTAGGCTAAATCCCATAGGATTTGGCCATCCTCCTTACTGAAAAATTATGCCTATATACAAGAGTTGGGGATTATTCCATATTCACTTTTTTTATTACCATGAAGAGAGCATCCATACTTGAGATATTCTCCTGGATGTAGGACCCAGCAGTTCCTGGTGCAATCTGTGATGATGACCCTTATTCCTGCCCCATTGGAGAACCCTTCCTCCTCGGGAATGGAGTCAGGACTGGTAGGTGCTCTAACGAAACCGAGGGGAATCCCCGTACCTGTGAGATCCATGCCTGGTGTCCTGTGGAAGTCAACAATATGCCCCTGTTGGTTGCTTTCTTTATCTTGGGGTATGAAGCAACTGAATTAACTGTTGGTTATCTCTTGATTAATCTCTGCTTTTTAGGGATGGACTGGCACTGCTGGAAGGTGTTCAGAACTACACTGTCCTTCTGAAGAACTTCATTGCTTTTCCCAAATTTGGGGAGGAGTATCGCAGGTATGGTACCATGACTCCATTTTTATGGATAACTAGAACTTTCTCTGCAACAAATCCAATCAAGGCCAACATGGATTAATCCAAGCTGAAGAATGACAATTGACAACATAAGAATCATGTTGAATAGTTCTGTTGAGCAGGAATAGCACAGAGCTCTCTTCAAAGAAAATTGAGCTAGATGGAATAATGTTGAACTGACTTTACCTTGAACTGAAGCAATCTCAAGTTAAACTGATGAGATTGATGCTAGATGGGTATTTTATCAAAAATGAATGTTCCTAAATGGGAGTACAGAAACAAATATAATGGCTTTTTTAGACACCATAGACTGGAATGATGATGAAATGGAAAGGAGTCAAACTAGATTTACATCAAACTCTAAGTGCATGAAACTCATATGCAGGGTAGCTAATTAAGCCCTAGATCTCATGTGGAAGGTCATGGGGAGCATTTATGATCCTCAATGCTTGTGTCATCTGCCCTGAAACATACTGCCCATAATTTCATTCTCATGTAACTCATGCAGTCACTACCAATTCTACCACAGTGTTATTCTGTTTGACAATATTCAGATTGACATTTTCCTACTTTGGCATTTTCCTTTTCTATTTATTGTCATAGGAAACAATATGGTGTGTCATTCCACTCATATTTTATTCATGATTATTGTGGGAAGTGTTTTCCATTTAAAATAAATCTGGTTTCATGTCTGTCTTATTGATTTTACCATATGTCCTGATTTGTTGTTCAGACAGCCTGGCTTTATTACTTAGTAAAAGTTTGTGATGGTTGGAATTATTCCATTCAGCATTGCTGTAGTGACCCATCAGCAATATAGATACTTTGCTTTGCATCTGTGCAATTTCTAATATTTTTGTTCACATGGAAAAATATGATTTTCAAAATGTGCTTAGTAAATATAGCTTGAGACTCCTCTTCAGCATCTTTGGCATACTTCTGATATACAACCTGTAAACTATTTTATTTTTTCCTTTGTCCTTTCCTTGAACCTCATGAGGTCTCTTGACATTCTCATTTGTACATGTTTTTTTTTGTTGTTGGAAAGAAGGTTATGTGAGGTGTTATTCTTTCCTCAGGAGGAATATTCTGGACTCATACACGAAGGAGCAACTGAATTCATGTCACTTTGACCCCAAGAATGATTCATATTGTCCCATCTTCACCCTAGGAACCATTATTCAAGAGGCTGGGATCTCAAATTTCACTGACATTGCAATCTCGGTATGGATGCGTGAAGCCTACATGGCTTCTTGAATGAACTCGTGTTTAAAGTCATACAGTTAACTGCATAATGTTATGTGTAATTAAAGCAAACTGAATGACTATTTATTAAAATATGAACATGAGAATGAAAATTTAACTGAGTCATCATTATTATGAGCCATTATCAATGGTAAGGAATATTCAGGCTATGATCTGACCACTAGGGTGGAGTGGTGGCAATAGAGATATCATGGGACTGCAACCTAGACCGCGACTTCAAGAGTCATTGCCTTCCCAAATACGAGTTTCGTCGGCTCGACGATCCCAACGCCAAGGTTGCACCTGGCTGGAACTTCCGGTGATTATTGCCTATTTGCATTCACCTCTTGTGTTTTCGTTGCCATGTCCTGCTTCCTGATGTTGTTTTTCATCCTTCCAGGTATGCACAGTACTACAGGGATGATGTTCGTACCCTCTTCAAGGTATTTGGGATCAAATTTGTAGTGAACGTGTACGGAGAGGCCCGGAAGTTTAGCATCATTCCCACTCTACTCAACATTGGATCTGGTCTTGCTCTCCTTGGATTGGTTAGTTTCATCCCCTGTATTGTGCCCCTTTATCATTCGCTGAGGATTTTTTAAAACATTGAATGCTGTTCGCACCATATGGCACGTTTGATGTAGTGAATCTCCATCGGCCTGCTGCACTTGGCAAGGAGAGGTTGACTGTACATTTAAATCCCTGGCAGTTAATGTGTTTTAATGTTTTTGGGAGGAGAATTTTCAATGACCTGAAAGAGAGCTGCTGATGACTCCTCTTTGATACTGAGCCAAAAGTTCAGCCAGGAGCAGGAGAATGTAGAGCCAGGAAGGCCTGAAGTGACATTAAAAATTTTCAAAGAAATATAAATAAATCCATACAAGACAGTTTTGAAATTGAAATTTGGAATAAATTAAAAAACAAAAAGATAATACCCCCATGACCTGTTGTACCACCTCTGGGACCCTCTTTGCATTGGAACCCAGAACCCTCTTTCTGCAGTGCCTGAATCTTTCCCCCATGCAGCCCCATGTAACCTTTGTGTAATCCCAGATTCAAGGTTCTTGCCTACACAATGGTGGATTCTGGTTGGAGAGGTAGTGATGGTAAAGTAAACTAATGGTTCAATAAGTATCTCTGCAGCAGTATTCAATATGTTCTATGGGTCATTTCAACCTGTACCTTCAAGGTAAGGTGCAAGAAAATTAAGGATATTCATGGATGTTAAGGTTACACTATGTTGAAGTCTTTAGCTCATGTAGTTCTTCATTTTTGTTCAAATGTAGGCTGAGGTGGTGTGTGACCTGGTGGTGCTCTACATCTTCTCTAAGGGCCCAGTGTATCGGGAAGCCAAGTATCAGGTCGTCCACGGTGAAGATGCCTATAAGGTATGCTGCATTGTTCATCCGCATTCAGCTTCTCTTGCAGATGGTGCTCTGTTTTGTGTTCATTTTGCCAGTTGTCGAGCTTTCGTAGTTTAGTCTTGGGTTTTGCAGTGATTGAATCCAGGTTTCTTTTTCACCCTTTCCATTTGCACTAGATATTAGGTGCTTTTTACCATTGTCCATCATATTTTCATGCACCTATCCAATACTGGACAAAATTTGCAGTATTGAGAGATGTGAGGGGCTTGTTGTTACAAGTTGGTTTTTAATGAAAATCAGTATCACCTATTTTGTGATATTGGGACTTCTGCAGTCTTCCTTGTTCACTTTTTTTTGTTTTGCTTTCTATTGTTGTCTTGGGATGAGGGTGTAGGTGCACCCACTGCTGCTACCATCACACCCAAGCTAGTAGTATCTCATGTGCACTCGGGCTTCGTGTTCCACTCGGGCAGGTTTCGGAGGGGGAGGAGGAGGAGGAGGTGGGGAGACGTGACAACCGATCGTATCGGACGTTTCGCGACTCCTGAGTCCGTGTCTGTCTCGGTGAGTGTTTGCTTTGGCCGCTTCTCTGTGCTGTTGTTGAGTTTCTGTGAAACAGTGGTATCTGTGGGGTGGTGGTTGTCGTATTGCCCGCGCCACGGTCGCTCTCGATCGGACGATGCTCGAGACGTAGCGTTGTGCCGTTTTGACCTTGCATCGTGTTGATTTGTGAAATGTATTTCTTGAGGCAGGCGACTCAGCTACTTGTTCACATCCTTTTGAATTGTTCTCGTAGCCATTCGTCAATGAAAGCTCGGAAGAAGATCGCCACGAGACCCAATGACTGCTATGTTCGAGACCCAAAGTACACACTTTGTACTGGACCAATTTTTCATCAGAGGACATTTTTGAGTCTCCCTCACAAGCTGGGAAGGCCATTATCCACACAGTCGCTCAATTTTTATGGTTTTTTTTTTCTCAGTGGACCAGGATGATCTTTATTTTAAATTTTGATCACATTCATTAATTTTGAACTTCACTATATTGACTCATCAAATCAGGGTTTACATAATGCATCACTTTAATGTTGTCCACTGCACACGATGCAGTTCGCCCATTGATCATTACTTGGGCAGTGATTTAGCTGCTGTGATTTGCATTGTGATATTGCGAACGCGCCAATAAATGGAACCTCTGACCCTTCGTGGTCGTCGAAGTGTCGATATCGGTGATTGTATTATTCATGTATGTTGTTAGCAGGGTTCGCCTGATTGCTTTTCCTCCGTACCTTCGGTCGTCATCGACGAAACGGATGGACTCTTTATTTGCGATCCCTCTTGAGAAACTTCCTCGCAAACTTGGCATCGGTCGGACCGTTTGTTTGATGGAGAAAACCGAACACGGACGTGATATCTTTGACGAAAGGAGGACCGAGACTTACCCGCACGTGAATTTGCTAGCGTTTGGTCACGCATTGAAATTGCCCAAGGCAAAAGTCTCTCCTGCTCGCCTCGCTTGTCCCTAACGTGAGTTGTGCTGGGTACCCTACTGTAACAGGTGTTTCCTGAGCCGTTTCTAGGCAAGTCCCAGGGTAAGGAGTTCTTATGCCCCCCCCCACCACCCAAACCAAACCAAGAACTTCTGCGCGAAGCACCACCGCAACTCTGGCGACAAGGGCAAGGCATTTCCTACCAAAGCTGGTAATATCTATCCACTCGAATAACACTCCTTCGATGTGAAAGATGAGAAAGCTCTCACACTTGACGCTCACTCCAGGCAAACACATTCTACTTTTTAATCGTTAGGATACCGATACACAGTATATGATGACACCGATTTAAAAATTGCATGTAGACATGTACGCACACAAGTCGAGGTGTAATCTTAAACTCCTGGACACTGCCAAAGGATTCAATATTTAATTCGATCGAATGTGGAGGTTTCGCTTCCTTCCGTTCTTGCCCCGTTCGGGGCGCGGAATGATCTGAGGCTTGCGATCGGGGGGGGGGGGCGGGGCGGGGCGGTGTGACCTTCGCAACGAGTAATGAAGCCTGAAATGCATCCAACTATCGAAGCCGACTATTCATCGATGCATCTGGACAGCCAGAGTTTTTTCTTATAGCCGTTGAGAATCAGTTGCCTAGCGCGTCTTTTTTTTTTCTTCGTTCTATACGGTCTTTGGACGTCGGCACCGGTAGGTATAGGGCTTTTTTTTTTTTCCAAGTTTAATGCACCCCACGTACAGAAACGTGCGACAAGCATCAACTCGAGGCTTACGACCTACCGATGAAATTGCGGCCTGTCGTCCTCGATTCCGAGCGAGCAGGAGACAGCATACCGGTCCAGTTTGAAACGGGGGAGCCCGCCTCGACGTCGATGTAGTGGTGGACCCATCGTCGCACGACGGTGTTCCTGATGTCTATATCGGGGCATTTTAGGTGAAGGACCGAGTTTCGACGATTAAACTTCGCTCGAACGCCTCAGATGACGTAATTGTAGCATATTTGTAAATGGCCACCACTCCTGTCTCCAAGATGCCGAGAGAGCGTTTGTAGCCGCACGAAGGTGTGTTCCGTGCCTAAACGTACCTCGACGTAACGGATACCACGTAGAAAGAAACGCGGAATCGAGTGGGCGGATTCCACGAGAGCGCAATTCATCTGGACTCGCGAACCGTGCCTCGCGTGAAACCTTCATTTCGACGTCGGTCCGCGAGAGAGGGCGAGAGCCGGAACATCCAAGTTCTCGGAGGGCCGGAGCGGAAACGTCGGACCGCTTCGGAAGAGAGCCGGAAACGGCCGAGCGGTTGCAGATCGTTCGGTCGTTCCGCCGGCGTTTCCCTCGTAGTTGCGTCGGATCGGATCGGAGTCGGCACGGTCCGCGAGCGCTCTTTCCGAGTTTCGACGAGTCGAAACGACTCCCGAAAAGGGAATTTCGTTTAACCGTTCGTGAAAAAAAAATAAATATACGGGGTGGGGCAGAAGTCGTGGACGCACGACGAGCTGCGCTTTTCGAGGGTTTTCTTCGCGGTCGGCCGGCGGTCCGCACGGGAATGGAAGGAGGAGACCGGGGGAAGATGCGGCGGGGTTCACGGTCGAAGGCGACGTGCGAGGGGATGGCCGTGCGTGCGCGTGTCTCGTGCACGCACCCTCGCACGTAGGTCGAAACACGTGATCGGGTCGTGGTCTGGGCTTCCGGCGACACGTGAGAGGCTTTCCACCGACTCCCGTCTCCATAGATGGAGACGGGAAGACGACGACAAAAAGTGAAAAGTGACTAGTGACTCTCGACGTCTGTCCGCTGTCGGTCTGTCCCTGGAGTCCCCGCGAGAGACTTCCGATCTCCACCCGCTCGATCTCTTCGCGAACGGCGATGGGTCCGGCACGGGACCGAGGGAAGTGGACCTCCCACGTGCTTCCCTTCTGGAAGACTTGGGTCCTCCTCCTCGCCCCGATCCTGGCTCTCCCTCTCCTCTTCGTCCCGACCGAGCGAGTGGTGAGTCCCTCGAGGTTCTTTTCGTGCCTCGAGCTTAGCGCTGGGATTCTCTCGTCCGGTTAAATTGGCATTTAAAAGAAAGAGAAAAAAAAAGGGGAAATTCGTGTCGCTTCGCGGTTTCGATCCCCGAATTGCAAGGTTCTGGTCGGTGGCGGGACGGGTGGTCCGCGAAGCCGAAACTCCCCGATCCGGCCGGTGGAATACATCAATTTTCAGAGCTCGATGCACGATGCGAGAGGACGGGTCGTCGAACCTCTCCGGATTCCTTTCGCGGTCGGTGGCACCGAAGGCGACCGCGGAACGAGGACTCCGTCCGAATCATCGCGAGCTCTTCGCGGAAGTGTCGCGCGAAAGCGAGAACGAGAGACGCTCGACTTTTTCTATTCGAAGCGATCTGACGAGCGTGGAGACGACCTCGACGTTACGATGTCGTCGAACCGCGAAACCTTTCGTCGTGATTCGAATCGGCTTCGCAAAAGTGGGCTTTGTTTAAATCAAGCTTTCGCGAATCAGTTTATATAAATTCATGATATTTACCATTTCGGTTTTTTTTTTTCTTCCCACTGCTTTCTACCGCTTCGAGCGATCGCTTAAGCAATCGATCGCTTAAGCGAGCAAAAAAAAGGGAGAGAAATGGAAGAGGGCTGAACGAGAGCACGAGGCTTCGCTTCGCTTCGACTCGAAATCGTTTCGCTTATTCACCGGTCGGTTCATCTTCGATGCCGGTCGTGAACCGTGGGAGGGCTCGAGTCGAACCGTGACGTCCGAACCATATTCAGAATCTACTACACTTGAAAAAAATTTGATTTGACGTGAATGCACCCTCCCACGGTCACCTTCCCTCTCTGCCGGGCGAAAAGAAAGGGGGAAGGGGTAGAGGGAAGGAAAAGGGGAAGGGGAAGGGGAAGGGGAAGGGGAAGGAGACGGAGAAGGGGAAGGGGTAGGGGTAAGGGGTAAGGGAAAGGAGAAGGGGAATGGGGTAGGGGTAAGGGATGGGTGTGGGTGTGGGTGCCGTCGACCTCTATAAAGAAGTCACATGACTTGATCCCCCTGGGCCCAAATGCGATGCAATCCACGCTGCAGGTCACGTGGAGGGAGGGGGGGGGGGGGGGGGGGGGGGGGGGGGGG